GAGGGGGGGGGAGAGAGAGAGAGAGCGAGCGAGCGAGCGCGTGTGCACGCGCGAGCCCTGCCCAGGCCCAGGGAGCGGCGTCCCCTGGTGGGGCTCAGTCCATCAGGTGCCCGGGAGAGTGGTGTGAGGTGCGGTGCCTTCTGTGTCGTGGAAAGACTGCTGCCTACGAGGGGCCCTGTGTGGCCCCAGATCTGCCTGCGGCGACCTTCGCGGCCTACTCTTTCCTCCTTTCTTTCAACGCTCGTATGTGTGCAAGACGCACTAACACAGACGTAAGACACCATAAATTAAACAAAAATGAACGGGTACATGCTACAGTTCTAACTTGTCTCCTACACCTCCGAGATATGAGGTCTGATCAGCGTGCTCTGCGGTTAGAGGTTAAAAAGCAGATTATAAAATACCTAGATTCGGATCTTTTCTTTTTGTCCTGATTTGGCCTAGAATGGAGTGTATTAAACAAACCCTGGTCAGCAAAAGCCCAGAGTCAGTTAAAGCTATGGATCAATGTGCACTACATGTCAGGATTCTATTCACGTACAAGAAAACACTACGTCAGCTACCACAAAATCAGATAGTTTCCTGATGTGACTTTTCTTTTTGTTAAAAAATATGTGAAGTAAATGTGTTTTACTTTAATTCAAAGTTTCAAAGGAGAAGATTCTTTGCTTGAAAATATTTAGGAATCCAAACTAGTGTGTTTAGAGTCGGTTTGACTGTGCAATCTCTTAGTGGCAACTGAACAGCTACAAAAACTTTCTTTTTAAATTTTTCTGAAAAATCCCCCCCCCCCTTTTTTTCCTGGTTTAAGAAGATAATAGTGTATTATCGCTCTGAAGCCATTAGATGGCAGATAAAAAGCCCCCTTTTAATATGTGGGTTTGATTTTTTTTTTTTTTTTTTAAAGCCCACACGAAAGAGGAGGGCGCAAGGCAAAGCTGTAAGAGTTATTCCAGAACCTGTGGAAATCACTTAGGGCAATTAAAAAAACACTTCAGGGTACAAAAAAGCTCGACTACACATTTCCGTTTTCTTCCTTGAAAACACGACATAGATTGGGCTTAATGCTCCTTTGTTTTCTATATGCACCTTGGCCTATGGCGATTTTGCCCTGTGGCCCGCAGGGCGGTAAGTGCGCAACAAGGTCCAGGCCGCGGAGTCGGCGCCCCCCCTCCCGCCCGGCCCGGCTCGGCTCGGCTCGGCCCGGCTCGGCCACACTCGGCTCGACTCGGCCCGACTCTGCCCTGCCCGGTCAGGCGCGGC